GATATAGATATAGATATAGATTGATATAGATATACATATAGATTGATATAGATATAGATATAGATTGATATAGATATACATATAGATTGATATAGATATAGATATAGATTGATGTAAAGAGATACCGATTGTCTCTGTTCCAATCAGATCGAATGAAGGTGAAGAACAAACACATGTGGTGCTGGGAGCAGGCCAGCTGGCAGTGATGTGTGTCCGGAGTCAAGATCTGAAGAATGTCACTTCCGGGGAAATCCACATCTTCTCTGAGCTCGCGGACACATTCTGGGGAAGCACAAAGATTTCCCCAAGCCCTGGTCATGCATTTTTAAAAATATTACAGTCTTTCTGAAATCCTAAGCCTTTCAAAGCAAAGGAGAGGACGTGGAATACAAATGAGAGCATAAATTCCTCACCTAATGATACGTATTATTAGTATACAATATTTTCCACCAGTAAAATCAAAGTCTACTTTATTGTCATCATGCTCATGCACAATGAAATGAGGTAGTAGGCTTAGCATCACACATACTGATATTCAATCAAGCTCACCGTTGTGTTGTCAGAAAATATGAGAGAAATCCAAATCCCTATCCCTAATCCATACCCAGCCCTAACCTTAACCATACGTAACCAAATAAAATACAAGACTTTTGGCATTTTTAGTTTTTGGATTGCATTCAAAGATTTCTTTTTAAATTGAATTTCCCTAGAAAAATCTCCCCGCAAGGTCAAAATAACAGGCTGTAGGAACATTTGGTCTAAACAATGCAATATACAGTATTCATGACCACACACATACATATATACTTCAATTTTGCAGTAATCTGTCTCAAAATGTGATCGCTTCTAGTTTATCACCCATATGATGTGTCTACAAAGTTTCAAAATTATCCACAAAACATTTTCAAAGTTACTGTGTCCACAAGCCTGGGTGTCTGCTACAGCTGGAATTTCCTTCCGTTACTGCCACACAGCACTGCTGTTTCATTTTTGGGGTAATTTGTCTGAAAATGAAACCAGGTATAGAACTTCATCCTTGTAATGTTTTTGTCAAGCAGTAATATGATCCATCAAATACGTATTGACATCACAAGTTCAAATGTCATCTGCAGTCACCCTTCTCTTTGCTGCCACTAAGCAGCATCACGCCAGCATCAGTGCAATCCATCTCAAAATGTACTCAGTTCCAGCTCAGCACCCATACAATGCCTCTGCAAAGTTTGAAAAAGATTCATCAAATAGTTTTTGAGTTATTGCCTTAAAGGTATCGAGTGTCAAAACTGCCCTTTTTTAATATCATTTTGTGGTTCAGCTTCAATTTTTGGGCAATCTGTCTCAAAATGTAATCAGTTTTTCTTCCTCACCCATAAAATGCCTGTGCAAAGGTTGAGAAAGATCCATCAAGTGGTGGCGGCGGAGGCGGCGGAGACGGCGGCGGCAAAGCAACAGCACTAAAACCATCTGTATTCCCTAAAGTCCTAGGAATACAATAAGGTGAACCAACCACTAGTTTGAGCTCCTGCCCAGAGACCAGCCAAGTACAGGAACAACAGACACTTTTTCATTCTTGAGCTGAATCTGCTTGTCGCTTGATATAAGCAACTGGAGGAAAAGTGAATGCTGAGGCCTTTAGCTGTCAGAGTAAACAGGGCAGGAGTAAAGTACAATTCTCTTTATCACAGCCAATAAGGTTACAGTTACACAACCATACTGTTTAAAAAACGACCTATATTTATGGCAAAACACTGACAGCTGTAGTTGCCAGAATTTCACATTTAAAATGTGCAGAAAGGGTGTATTTTGTTTTATGGCCCTCTTTCAAAAAATTACAGTAGAAACATGTAGATTGCTCCACTGAACGCTACAGGAAATCCTGATCGGTATTCTAGTAGTTTTTAAAATCTCGTACTTCTGAAAATCCGGATTTATTCTGTGAAAAATGCTAAAACAGTATAGTGGTTCTTATATAGCAGTCGCTTTATGGTCAAATTAACCCTAAATTAAAGCTACATTTACGTTTGCATGGTGTTGGAAACATTTTGTGAGGCTAAAAATATCTGTTTTGGGACTAGCGGTCTCCGTAGGACACAGTATTACTGCCGGGTCAAAGGCCGAAGGGTTGCTTCCGATCAAGATGGCGGCTACTAAGCGTGTTCTTTATGTCGGTAAGCTGAAAACTTGCTGTAACTCTAACATAAGGTCTATTTGTTTCAGTTTATCGAAGGCGACACCTTGACATTTACGAGCACAATGTCATACTGTGTAATTTAAATGCATATTCCTAACGATATTTTAAATAATTTTATCACACCGCTAAAGGTAGCCGAGTGAATTTTCAGTCCGATTACTACCGTGAACTTAAATGCAGTAACGGTTTACCTTATGAATGAATGAATGAATGAATGAATGGATGGATGGATGGATGGATGGATTCATACATTATTGTTGTTGGTTGAGGCTTGCGCTGAATGCTGTTCCTCATAGGCGGGCTCGCGGAGGAGGTGGATGAGAAGGTCCTGCATGCGGCATTTATCCCGTTTGGAGATATCACAGACATCCAGATACCCCTCGATTATGAGACAGGTGGGGAGGTCTATTTAACTTTACATCTGCTAGTCTTAGGGCAGGCACACTGTATATGTGTCATGTATGTATTGATCTCTCCCTGTAACGACTGTTTATTCTGGATTCTAGAAAAGCACAGAGGGTTCGCCTTCATCGAGTTTGAATCGGCAGAGGTGCGTATTTATTACACAGTAGACAAATCTACCTGGTGCATTTTAAACCGGAGGTATTGTTTCTAAAATGTAGCTTAACAGTTGCCTTATTATTTCCGTAATAGATTTTTTTTTCTGATTTAGTAGTTGATTTTTAACCATTGCTGTGCATTTTTAAACACTATTGCAGGATGCCGCTGCAGCCATCGATAACATGGTAAGTGACGATTCTCATTTGGTGTAGAGCTGGAAAGCAGCACAGCTTGCTCTTCATCAAAAATATTCAGTTCTGGATGACATGTCCATGTGCTCAAAACCACCGCTGACTGTATTTAGTTACTGAAGGAAGTTAGTCGTTAAGCTTCATTACACTAAGGGGACACACTCTTTTCCTTTACAGAATGAGTCTGAACTCTTTGGCAGAACAATCAGAGTGAACATCGCTAAGCCCATGAGGATAAAGGAAGGTTCTTCTCGGCCAGGTGACCACCTGCTTGTGTTTCTTCACCGGTGTTCCTAAGGTACTTGGGGCTCCTCAGTAATGCCTGGCTCTCCCCCCTCCTAAACAGTATGGTCAGATGATGATTGGCTGAAGAAGTTCTCTGGGAAGACCGCAGAGGAAGCCGAGGGGGCGGAGCCAGCTGGGGAAGATGTCAGCAAGGAAACACAGGAGGTATGGAGCTGTCGGTCACCTGTCTGTGAATACATGCGGCTGATGACTGGATACCCACCTCTCTGATGTCACTGTGTGCAGGGAGAGCCCCCTGCTAAGAAGGGCAGGACCAACCCCCAAGTCTACATGGACATCAAAATTGGCAACAAGCCAGCGGGCCGACTACGCTTCCTCCTCCGAGCTGACGTCGTTCCCATGACCGCTGGTACGGCAGCTCCCAGTCACTGGTTGGGAATCTTACACACTGGCAATTTCATTACACAGTTGCTATAGAAGCCAGTCGGTCTAATTCTATTTGGAAGATTGTTATCCTGTGCATTCTGTCAGCACCCACAATATTAAATAGGTCTATGTATCATAAAAGCTATATCAAATTACAGCTGTGACCTAAGAATGTTTTAGTCTCCTGTAAACCACGGATGGGTCATTGGGTTTAGATATTCTTTTGAATAAACCATTTACTTTGTTTGAAATCTGTTTATTATTGTTATTGTTGGTGTTATTATTAGGATTAGATGGGGTAAAAATCATCTGTTGATCTTCATGTTTGAAAACATGAAAACGTGGATTTGATCACAGGAAGGTTGTTTACAAATGAATGAATGGGCCCGTCCTGTTCCCCATGATTCATTTACCCATAATACCTCTCTGCACCCCCTCCAAAGAGAACTTCCGTTGTCTGTGTACCCATGAGAAGGGCTTTGGCTACAAGGGCAGCAGCTTTCACCGCATCATCCCGCAGTTCATGTGCCAAGGCGGAGACTTCACCAACCATAACGGCACTGGGGGCAAATCCATCTACGGCCGCAAGTTCGACGATGAGAACTTTGTTCTCAAACATACTGGTCCAGGTAGGAAGACCCTATCCTGTGAAAAATTACTCTAATTGCGGCCGTGTGATTTAGATTGGAAAAATGCTCAAAGATGTATAAAAATGGACCACCCATAACTGCAGCTCAGTTGTTCGTTCCTGATGTTTATGTCTCTCGTGGCTGTGTCGCCAACGGCTCTGCTGATTTTCCGTACATAAGTATCACGGAGCGCCTGCTTAACCCTCTGTGTCCTCGCAGGCCAGCTCTCCATGGCCAACTCAGGCCCCAACACCAATGGCTCACAGTTCTTCCTCACCTGCGACAAGACGGACTGGCTGGACGGGAAGCATGTGGTGTTTGGAGAGTTGATGGAGGGTCAGGAGGTGCTGCGAGCCATGGAGGTAAGCGGGGTTACATTCCCTTGCGGGCGGCACCGTCCGCCACCTCGCTCCTTGGTCCTTTCACTAGTCCAGTGTTTCTCATCCCGGCCCTCGGGGATAACCAGACAGTCCACATTTATGCTCCTCCCCAGACAGTCCACATTTATGCTCCCCCCCAGACAGTCCACATTTATGCTTCCCCCCCC